AATTAAGGATACTGTTAAAATGAATATACTTATAATTATTATTTTTCCAATTAATTGTATTTAATTATTAACTCAAAAAAGGGGCCCACACGTATACCGGCCTCATGCCCTTACATTCTTAATCCGTCCCTTCTGGTAAGTAATTGTTTGATATACGACACTAGTATATTAAAAACATGTTAAATAAATAAAAAGTTTAATTAGATATGCATGTACATAGTATATTGAATTCACTTTTGAAACGGAAAAATGAAATGTCTGGTAAGTATTTGTTTGTTATCCGACACTAGAACATTAAAAACGTGTTAAATAAATAAAAAGTTCAATAAGATACCTATGTATGTACATAGACAAATTGAATTCACTTGTGAAACGGAAATTACTTAATTACCAGGTGTTTTTTTTTGTATTTATTTCTAACTAACAATATTAACATGATTCGTTTGCAATTATTTTATAGGGAGTTGTATTGAGTGGTTTAGAATGTAATGAAAACTTTTTCGCAAAAAAATATTAGATATGTTCATGATTTTATGATGAACCAAGTCATTTAGAGGTGCATACTTCCGCAAGTTCATAATTTAAGGGCAGACAAATAATATACTCCTCATAAACTGATTTGTTTCGAGGCAAAAATTATAGAATAAGTGTTCTGTATATCTAGGTTGTTGTTGTTGTTGTTGTAGCGGCTACAACAACCCCGCCCAGATCGGTTGGTATCTCAGTCGTTGTCGTCAAGTTCCACTAACGGCAACCCTAGGAAGCGTGCAGCTTCTGTGGGATCTGTCCACAGGGACAGGGCCGTTAGGGTTGTCGGGTTTTCCGGGCATGCGAAGAGATGGTTCGAGTCATGTGGGGTCTCTCCGCATGCCGGACATTCGTTCGGCACATCCTCATTCAGCCTACTCAAGTAGGAGTTTAACCTGCTGCAGTAGCCGGAGCGAAGTTGGGCAAGTGTAGTGCGTGTCTCCCGAGGCAGATGAAGCTCTGTCTCGTCAATGTCCGGGGGTGGTATGCCTAGAACGGCATTCACAGGTCTAGAGTCTACATAACTCGAGACTGAGTCCCTGTGAATGCCGTTCAGGGCCTGTCTGTACGCTGTCGGGTCCAGAGGTTGCTTAATGAGCCTCTGGACTTCGTCCGTCAGTTCATATAGATGCCTCCTGACGTGCCTAGGCGAGGGCTCCTCTGCAAGCAGCTGTCTGTTTGGGTGGCCACTTCTGTGGCTCCCTATCAGGAACTGCTTGCAGAGCATTATGTTGTGCTCCTTAACTGGGAGCATTTGCGCCTCGCCGTGCAAGTGATGTTCTGGCGACATCAGGAGGCATCCCGTCGCTGTCCTAAGTGCCGTATTTTGTCCCGTCTGTAGCTTCGTCCACTGCGTCCTACTAGTCCCTGGCGACCACACTGGCGCTGCGTAGTTCAAAACCGGCCGGCCTATTGCCTTGTATGTTGCCAGCAACGTTTCTTTGTCTTTGCCCCAAGTACTGCCGGCTAGCGACTTGAGGACCTTGTTGCGGCTCTGTACTTTATTGACAATAGCGGTTGAGTGCGCAGAGAAGGAGAGCAGGCTGTCGAATGTTACTCCGAGTATTTTGGGGTTATTCACCGTCGGAATTGGTGTGTCATCGACGTGAATCCCCAGCGGTAGCCTGACCTCCTTCGTCCAGGTTGTGAACAGGGTCGCGGAGGATTTCGTAGGGGAGAGGGCTAGACACTTTGCAGTGAAGAAGCGAGAAAGTTCGGAGAGATAGCCGTTTACTTTCAAACACAGGTCATCAATTCCATTCCCAGTCGCCATGATCGAGCAGTCGTCGGCATAGGAGACAATCGAGACTCCCTCTGGTGGTTGAGGGAGCTTTGAAATATAGAAGTTAAACAGTAGCGGGGAAAGGACACCACCCTGAGGAACCCCTTGTTTTATTTTTCGCTGCTTACTCGTTTTGTCTCTAAATGTTACCGACGAATGTCGACCACTCAGATAATTTGCCGACCACCGTTTGAGCCTCTGTGGGAGAGAGGAGGCCTCTATATCTTCTAGCAGCGTGGAATGGCAGACGGTGTCAAACGCCTTTGACAAGTCCAACGCTACTAGAATCGTTCTCTCACAGGGACGGTTGCGGTTAAGGCCACGTGTTATCTGAGTGTTTATGGCGTTAAGTGCTGTTGTTGTACTGTGCACTTTACGGAAACAATGCTGGTGCTTCGCTGGGGTCAGGTGGTTTGTGAAGTACGGGAGTAGCAAGGCCTCAAGTGTCTTCGCTACCGGGGAAAGGAGTGTAATCGGACGATACGAATCTCCTTTGTTGGCGGGTTTCCCCGGTTTGAGCAGTGGGACCACTCTCCCCACCTTCCAGATGTCTGGGATGATGAGAGTGGCCATTGACAGGTTGAGGACCTCCGTTAGGTACGCTACCCCCGCAGGACCCAAATTTTTCAGCATCAGCATGCATATTCCGTCGGGACCCATGGCTTTGGAGGCTTTCGCCTTCCCGATGGCCACCTGAACTTCACCGCAAGTGAAAGCAAGGGGGG